ATGAGTATAGTAAATTGTACTGTATTATTTATTTGTATATAAATAGAAGAAAGAAGTTTTATTCTTGAAACATGAAAAAATGATAAATATGGGAAAATATTTCCCAATTACCTTATGTCATTACACAACATATGTATAACTGCTCATTCACCTTAAAATCGAACAAATTCATAACTGTTCAAAATGAAACTAAGCAAAACATAATTGAAAAGTGTAGGGTTCTTGTAAAGTCTACTTTACAATTCTCAGTGGAGTCACTGCTGCTAACCTTTTTTCCACTTCTGTTGCTGTATATTTTATTTCAATTTCCACCTTTGTGGTTCATTAATAATACTCTTCTGAAAGCATTATTCTACCTATAGCTCTTTATGTTAATCTATCTCCTCTAATAAAACCCTATAAACATTCTTTAGGGCTGGGGATTTAGCTCAGCGGTTAGGTGGCCTGCCTCGCAAGCGCAAGGACCCGAGTTCGATCCCCAGTACCAAAAAAACAAAACAAAACAAAACAAAAACAAAAAACTAAACATTCTTTGAATGATACAGAGTCTACTGAACTGTGTTCTAGCACCTGAACTGTGGCTGAGTTACAAATTGGAAAAGCAAATAAATTGAAATCAACTCTTGTAGCAATATTTGCAGGGTTTACTGAATGGTCAATAACAGTTAACTCAGTGCATGACATGTATTTAAAACATAATTCTGGATTCTAAGGTAGTCAGTCTACAAATATGTGCACATTAAATGAAGAACGTTCACCTAAGTATCTAATCAATGTTTATTTAATCCATCTGGCTGTACTTGAATTTGAAATGGAAAAATTCTAGAAGGACCTTGCTGTGAACATATAGATATTACCATATATTTCAGGAATAAACAACATTCTGTGAAAATATTAATTATCTATTAAAACTGTAGAGTTAAAAGACATTGAAATCCTTTGTTTCAATGTGTGCAATTATGTACAAAACCCCCTTGTGTGAAAACAACACAGAAAGAAAAGCAAATCTCGGGATCTCTGCCACTTTCACAGTGGCATTTGTAGGACGCGGTTACAGGTTTTAGGAAACAATGATGACCCAAAAGACCTGTGGGGAAAATACTTCTTCTGAAGAACACATTATAGGTTTCCACTGCCACATACCCTAAATTTACACAGCCCGCTTTGTCGGTGATTCTCACCAGCAGCAGCATGATTGAGATATTGTTTAGAATATAAAGTTCAGTGAATTGTAGGGTTCATGCGTCACCAAGCAACCTGGCGTTCTTTCTCTCAGTTTGAGTAGAAAGCATGAATCAGCACAGCGCAGGTCCACTATGGGCTCTGACTGCCAACAGACCTGGGACTTTAGTGCTCTGAGTGCCTGTACCCTATAGCTCACAGTGTAGAGCTCTGGGCCCTACACTTCCAGTTCCTGAACTGTTGTCTGCACCGCTGACTAAGGCTGCCAGTTGCCATCCATCCACGCTGGTAACCCTGAAGACGCGCCATTCACTGGCATTCACGGGTGGTCAGTGGCCGCCACCACCAGCCGCCACTGCTGCGTACTGCGTTTGACACACACGGCAACCTCCACCAGTTGTCTGCCCTGACTTTGGCCACTGTCTCCAGATGGCTTTCAGCCCCTCCTGTTCATAGCCACTGCCCCGTCTGTCTTTAAGAGAACCATTCTGTCCATGGTACCCAGAATGCTGAGTAGATTTACAGCATCTACAGCAGTAAAATATAAGCAGATGTACTAGACCAGTGCATGGAGGTCTGTTCTGCAACAGAGGGGATCAGTTCACAAGAGGGAACTAACCAGAAAGGACTCCTGTTTAGGAGGAATGATTAACAAATACAATGATTGTTTAAATTTAAAAAAAAACACTTTATTACAGTAAGATACACACGTTAATCCCTCTCCAAAGACTCTTGCTTTGAACACACTTATCCAGTCATTCTTGCTACTTCCTGAAGCAGCTCTGGAGTCCTCTTTCATAAGTTACTATGTGAGTTGTGATTAAAAACCTGTAGTAGATGCTGCTGCCAAGAGCCATCTGATAGAATTCCAGGTTTGATGAATCATCGGTAGGTGACCTTATCCACCTTACTAACGAAATTTGGCCCCACGGGACTTCTGGCTCTTTCCCAAAGTTAAAAGGATCATGAAAGGTAAATACTGAATTGATTTGGGGCATCAAGGCCAACATAAGACTATGCTAAAGATAGAGGGAAAATGTCTTCTGGAACTGCTGCAAAAAGTAGCAGGAAAAACAGGATAAGTGCATTTAAAGCGAGGAGGAAAATATTGAGGGGGACTTATAAGTTTATGTCTTTGAAAAATTTAAACGTTGAGTACTTTTGGATCACACGTCCTGTAGAGCAGCAGGAGGCTTGTAGTGGGTTCACATTCAATCCTTGCTACTGCTCCAAAGTCAAGCATAATAATTAGGAACAACTTTCAAATTCAAGCCTCTTATTCAGGTTTACAGGTTCGTCCTGATTACCTTCCTCTATGTGGTTCTAAGTTGAGCCTTCTGCCATTAGGGAACATATCACTGAGGGGAACCAGTTGTCCTAGCCAGCTGCAGCTGTCGTGGGGGCAGTTTGGGCTGCGGCACTGCTGAGAATGTGAGCAGAGGGGCTGCTGGATGTGCTGCTGCTGCTTCTCCCAGAAAGCGACATCATAAAATCTGGTCTTCCTGCTTTCTGGGATTCTCAGCAGGCCTGATCCTCCCCTGTGTCTGTCTTGGCAGTGGTGGCTTCTTCTCCACTATCGTTGTCTCTGCATATGTGGAGATCCTAACCTCAAATCTTAATTTTGGGTTAATATGGAGGTTTTTGAAAACTGTGGAGTTTATTCAGGCAGAGCCATCAGGCATCACGTGATTGCCTTAATGAGAAGGAGCTTTCTATTTCCCTGACTACTCCTGCCATGTGAAATCTGAATATTTGGATGTCTATGAACCAGAAGACAGGGTGTCTCTGTCTAATGAATCTATTTGTGCCTTGATTTTGCACTTTCAGCCTCTAGAACTGTATTACACATATGGAATACAATACCAATATGTATTATATGAGATATGTTTTATATTTAGATAATATTAGTATTAAATCACTAGGGACTGCAAATATGTACTAATACATTTTAAAAAATAAACATTAAGGGCCAGGGATTTAGCTCAGCGGCTCGGTGGCCTGCCTTGCAAGCGCGAGGACCTGAGTTCGATTCCCGGTACCAAACAAAAGAAAAAAAGAAACATTAAAAAGGAGAGTATATTTAAGTTCTATTAAATGTCTATTTCCACAAGAAGATAGTGTGATTCATGATAGCCAAGAATTGCCATGTTAAATTTTCCTCAGTCTTAAAATTGATCAACTTGTTGACAGTGGCAAGCAATTAAAGGTTCAGCCTTTAGAAGAGTTGTTGAACCACTATTCTCCAGGGAAAGAGGAATACAGGAATCTAATCAATTATTTTTGAATAACTCGAAGGATAGAAAGCAGAAGCTTAGGTCCCAACAGTCTCTAGGTGAGAATAAATATGATCTACAGATTGTTCAGCACCAACAATACCTACAGAAAGTCTTGGTCCTCTCAGGGAGACTTCTCTGTGAGTATATTTTAAAAATAGAGTACAAATAAAACATTAGTTTCTGTAAAAACAATGAGTAATTAGTGGTGAGTAATGTATTGGTGAATTGTTTTATATCTTATTCAACTAAATATATTTCATGATTGGGCCAGGGAGTTAGCTCAGTGGTTCTGCCTTCTGCCTTGCAAATGCAAAGTCTCAATTTGATCCCCAGAACCCCCAATATGATTTCATTATCTAATGACCAAAGGCATTTTCTTATTAGACTTGTGTTGCCATTTTTATTAAATTCAGTAGCCATTTGTATAAGGATTGCAAAGGATTTATTTATTGATATTTAAATCAAGATGAATAAGTAAACCATTCCTTTTTGAAATCATTCTGCAAATGAGGTGTCACTTGCAAATTTAAAATTTATTCTGGTTTGATTTAAATAATGCTACATGTAGCATATCTCAGATAACAATATATGTAAACTCAAGTACCTGTGGACCTAACCCCATAATATTTAACTCTAGAAATAATAAAACATGACCACCTATGTTCCACATTCAAATATCTAGTGAAAGACACACTTGGACCTCTCACATATGTACATAGATGAAAGCAAAAAAGCAGAAGAAATATAAGATAAAATGTCTGGAAATGTTTCCTGCTCTCTTCCTATATTGAGCTTATTGCCAAAGTCAAATTAGAAGCCAATGATGAGTCTGTGTGTGTGTGTGTGTGTGTGTGTGTGTGTGTGTGTGGTCTGTGGTCTGCTGTTCCTCCTGCTTGAAGTCACTTTTCAGATCAAGAGATTTGTAACTGGAATCTACTAAATTGTGCAGATGAGTTGTCAACACTCTCACAAGCCAATGATAGTGAATGGTAAATAGTTTCTTGATACTAGCATCATTTTTCAACAAACCTTAAAGACATAAAAGAAAATACAATCATTTTCGTGTTCATACTTTTGTTCTATATCATTGTCAGTGGTAAGTTCAATCCTACTGCTTGAACAATGTGCTCCATGCAACCCTTCCTGGCAATTATGAGATTGACAGTCCTGCATTTTTAATTTTAATTTTGCTGTTTGCCTTCATATCATTTTGGATCTGAAAGCAGATTCTAGGTTATTTAAATCTACTTCCTAAGAATGGGTGATAGAAGCCAAGACGCTGGACATATATCAGGTATTATACATACATTTAAATTCAAAATTAATAAAATTTCTACACTAAAAACTCTTGGTTCTTTTAACATGATGATTTCCTTTAAAAGTCACACCTTCCAGACTATTTTCTGAGGGGATGGAAAATTATTTGTACAATGAAATTATGTTCCGCCTTATGAACATTTTTACTTGTGCAGAAAAAGTCAGATCCTAATCAGTCACTATCTTGATGATTTTTGAAACAGTGTACAACAAAGATAAAGAAGAATGGAGAGAGACAACTGTACCACATTTACTGAATTCTTTCTCTTAGGAGTTACCAATAAACCTGGGATGAAAGCGATTCTATTCACTATATTCCTAGGCGTTTACCTCATCATTCTCCTGACAAATATTGGGATGATCATTTTAATCAGAGTGGACACCCAGCTCCAGACGCCCATGTACTTCTTCCTCAGCCACCTGTATTTCTCAGACCTCTGCTACTCCAGTGCAGTTGGGCCCAAGATGCTGGCGGACCTGTTAGCTGAGAACAAACCCGTTCCCTTTGTTGGCTGTGCCCTGCAATTCTTCTTCACCTGTGTCTTTGTAGATGCAGAGTGTCTTTTGCTGGCAGTGATGGCCTTGGATCGGTACAAGGCTATCAGCAGCCCCTTGCTCTACGCGGTGGACATGTCCAGCAAGGTGTGTTACCAGCTCCTGGTGGGAGTGTACCTAGTGGGAACTGTAGACGCTTTGATACACACTCTCATGACTTTCAGCTTATGTTTCTGTGGCTCTAATAAAATCAATCACTTCTTCTGTGATATCCCCCCTATCCTAGTGTTGTCATGCTCTGATACACAGGTCAATGAATTAGTAATGTTCATCATTTTTGGCTTTATAGAACTGAGCACCATCTCAGGGGTTCTGGTCTCCTATTGCTATATCGTCTCATCTGTCTTAAAGATTAGCTCTGCCGAGGGAAGGTCCAAAGCTTTCTCTACCTGTGCCTCCCACCTCACTGCGGTTTCCGTTTTCCAGGGAACTCTGCTCTTCATGTACTTCCGGCCCAGTTCTGCCTACTCCCTAGACCAGGACAAAATGACCTCACTGTTTTATACCCTGGTGATTCCCATGCTGAACCCTCTCATTTATAGCCTACGGAATAAGGATGTTAAGGAGGCCCTGCAAAAGCTGAGAAATAAAGTTTTTGTTAAGTAAGGAAGGTTTCCGTTTTCCAGGGAACTCTGCTCTTCATGTACTTCCGGCCCAGTTCTGCCTACTCCCTAGACCAGGACAAAATGACCTCACTGTTTTATACCCTGGTGATTCCCATGCTGAACCCTCTCATTTATAGCCTACGGAATAAGGATGTTAAGGAGGCCCTGCAAAAGCTGAGAAATAAAGTTTTTGTTAAGTAAGGAAGCACTTATTACAAATAAATATGTATTAATTTATATAAATTGATACTATTGTTGCCTTCTAATTACATATTTAAATATAATTTTGTCTTGATTTTTTAATTCAATATAAGAACGGTTTTACCAAGCAATGTTCTGTAGCAAAATTCTGTAGTTTCCTAACTAGTCCAACCTCATTTTATGTCTCCAATATAAGGGTATTATTTATTTTTGGTAAATTTCCACTCTGTGCTAAGTGTCTCAAATTGTCATTTGTTTAGTGGTATATTTCATGCTTTATTTCATTATTCTATTGAGGTTTTAGTGTTTGTCTTTTACGTATTTGTATGATTAGCATCTTAATTTCCACATTAATGATTCCTAGAATATATTGGAAATTAGAAAGATTAATTAATATTAATTATAATATTAAAGTTACAAATAATGCACGGTAAATCACAAAAAGGCTATTAATTTAAAAGCCAGGATATTCTAAGTGCACCCAAATGAGTAAATCTGCATGGCAAAGGGAAATGGTTCTTTGAAGGGGGGAAATTTAGTTTCAGATCCAACGAACAATATGGAACGTATTTGTATGATTAGCATCTTAATTTCCACATTAATGATTCCTAGAATATATTGGAAATTAGAAAGATTAATTAATATTAATTATAATATTAAAGTTACAAATAATGCACGGTAAATCACAAAAAGGCTATTAATTTAAAAGCCAGGATATTCTAAGTGCACCCAAATGAGTAAATCTGCATGGCAAAGGGAAATGGTTCTTTGAAGGGGGGAAATTTAGTTTCAGATCCAACGAACAATGGTGGAGGAAGGAAGGATTTTATATGGATAAGCTGAGAATCAGTGACCTGGAGGTAGACAGGAAAGTAGCCCTCTGGAGGGACGGAAGTCCAAGAGTCAAGGAATAAAGAGCAAAGCTCTTCTGATCGTCTTTCCCACAGTGATTACTGATATTAGATACACATTCACTCGCACGTTGGCTATTTGTATGTTTCTTTTGAGAAATGCCTATTTGAATATTCTGTACGTTTTCATTCACTTCCTTGGGTACTGTTTGTTTAGTTTCACTTCCTATGGAGTTGGGCGAGTACAAGGAGAGGAATCAGTTCTGGTGTTTGCTGCCTACGAGGGGTAAATCAACCATGATAGTGTATTGTGTGTTTCAAAATAAGTAGGAGAGGGCATTTTGACTGGTGCAGCTCAAAGAAATAAGGAATGTTTGAGCTGATAGGTATACTAACCATTTGATCATTACAGAGTGTGTACATGAATTTCAAGTCATATGCTTCCCATGAACTGGGACAATTTTGTGTAAAACTCCACGCAATTTAAAATCAATGTCCCGTGCAAGGTCCATCCTTACGGCAACATTTTTTGCTCAGTCACTGTATCTCTGCTCTTCCTCCCTTTCCTTTCTCAGCCTTGTTTTTAAGCCCATCATTGCAGTTCTTAAATGATGCCCTCCTCAATGTGCTATTGTATATATTGCTCTCTGTAGCAGACCATCACCTCCAATTTGAGAAGGAGAACATTTTATGCTTAAGAATACCATGTGTTTCTGCCTGGAATTCTAGTAAGTTCTTGTGACTGAGACCCAGAATGGAAAAACAAATCAATAATAAAGATCAACCCCTGTAGAGACTCGTGAGTACTTATTAGATATCAAATTATTATGACATGTACTTTGATTTTACACCTTACAGTTTCTAAGAATACAGAAAAAAAATTTTTTTTGCATCTGATGTAATAGATCTATAATGGCATACATGTTAAACACAGCAAGTAAAAAAATGTACTTTATCAATATTGGGCTACTCTGCTTGACTCTGTTCAAATTTAAGATGTCAAAACACTGTAAGAAGTCTGTTGAAAAGTAGGGAAGTGACCACAGATCTGAAGGAATTCCCAGAGCTATGACACTCACAGTTATGCATTAAAACTGTACAAACTAAATGACCTTGAACATCTAATATTTTCTAGCTGCATTTCAAAATGTCCTTAGAAAACATTCCCACAGTGGATGTAAGGCCCAAGTGTTTCCTCTTGCTTTTCATGGTGTCACCTGTGGGCCACATCACAGATTACAGGACAGAGTGGTGACAGGACCATCCTGTGGGAGGAAACTGCCTCTGGAAACAAATTCAGAGACTTGTGCCTATGCCTTCTGATTTGCCCTATTCTTTTCTTAGTCATTTTTTTTAATAAGAGCAGCTGGGCAGATAATGCCCCATACAGTGCATTTGCCAGTGACCCTCAGTAGCGCATTAACAATACTGGCGTGTCTTTATATTTCCCCCATTTCCTCAGCCTTCCTCCTGAAGTACTCAAACACAGTACTGTCATGGCACTGGCCAATTAGTGATGACAGTGGTGAACAGACAGGCTGGCTCCGCCGATAGGTTGTCTGAGCACAATGCTTAGCACAGAGCAGTGAGGACGCTCAATGGACCAGTAAGTAGGAAGCCCTGGGCTAAAGTGGCAGATGATAAATTGCATCCTTCTAGCTCTCCCCCACCCCTCCGTCTGCTAAGCTAGGCATCCAAAGCAGCTCTAAGTGACTGTATATTTAGCAAATCACTCTTCCTCCCTAAAAGTCAGTCTCCTCTCTGTGAAAGTCCAGCTCAGGGCAGATGATCTACAAAGTCCTTTTCTGTTGAAAAGTTTTGTCTCCATATGGCTATGATTCTCTGCCCTCTGAAACCTCCCCACTACTACAGATTTCCCTAATAACAAAATAACAGCAACAACACCAACAACACACAAAGTATACAGGGCTTCATCTCTGGAGAAAATGCACTGTTTCTAGACGGATGTGATCTGGAACGGCAATGACAATGGCACCGGCTAAGTCGTGTGAATTGTGAGGGTGCAGACACTTCAGTCACAGGCCCTTTAATGCTCCCGTTCAGCATTTATATTTAAATAGACACACGAGAAACATTGTTATATAACTGATGGTGTTCAGCTAAACCCAAATTGAAATTTGAGAAGACTGTTACAACCACAAAAAAACTAAGATTAAAATACCTGACAATAATAATTTCAAGTATTGACATGAATGCCTAACAAGTTCAGCTTTTATACATTGACAGGAATAATAATTTGACCTTCCTTAGAAAGTACCTGTTATTCAGTATTACACCTTACCCGTTACACATAGCTTATGAACCCACCATGTCATTTCTTATTTTGTAAGCAAAATATGTGCACTCAAAGCTGGTACAAAGAGGTCTTACTATATTATCATTTTCACTTTGATAAAAAGCCTTGACATGTTCACTTACTAGACTACTGTGCAGCCATGGAAGTGAGTGAACTTTCACTTCACACGACAGCATGAAGGGAGCTCACATGCAAAAAAAGATTGAAATAATTCAGACATAGATGAAAAATAATGCAAACTGCAGTGGTGCCTCAGTTCACAAACTCAATTTGTTTTATGATTTGGGGGAAGATACCCACATTTGTTTCTGTGTGGGGAAGATAATGCAGTTTTATTTGTTACCTGAGGTGGAGTTTGTGAACAGAAACACAATCTTGTCAGATGAGTATATTTGAGATCTTAATTGTTTGTGAACAAAAATGTTCATGAACTGAGTCACCACTGCGAATGACCTCACTTCTAATGAGGTGTTTAAAAAGTATAAAGCTAACCTATCTTAAATTCAGTGTATGTTAGGACACACCGATAACTTCTGAAATATTGGTTCCCTTCTTTTTTAGATCTGGATTTAGATTGCAGGAATGTTTACATTTCTTAAATTTCACTTGCTGTTGCTCTTTCAAAGAGTATGCAAATACTGTGTAGTTTTCTAAAAGCAAACTTTATTATTACTTTGCAGGTAATTGAAATGTTTCTTTGTTACCTACATATAGTAGTTCCTTGTACACGTCTTAACTGCTTGCAAAATTAGTAAAGCACAAACCTCTCCTGGAATATCCTTTATAGTATTCAAAATATGAATCTTTGCTTCTACAAAACACGTGTTGGCATCCACAGCCCTTTCTTACTTTTTCCAATGGAGTAATTTGTGAACCCGGTTTCTTCTATTAGGTTCATGCCTTGGACTTACTCCATAATGGCCCATGACTCAGTACCAGTCTGCCCATCTCTGATGGGGAGATTTTTAAAATAGACAGTTGATTATTGTGTTTAGGGGTATGAGTGACTCCAAACATCGTTTAGATACAGATGACTGTGTTTTGTGCTTTCCTTGGTTATTTCTCTAATGTCTTAAAACCCACCTTAAATCTTTGCACTCTATGATTTAGAAAAGCAATTCCATGTTAAAACACCAGTCTCTTTGGGGATGAACGCAGATTAACAATTTTGCAACAATGTATGGCTTCGATTGCTCTGTATGGATGGGGTCTGGGAGTTGAGTTACACATGACTTGTGGAAGTGGCTGTGTTTATGAAGTTAAATTTCATTGTGCCTAAAGAGAGAGTAGTGTGAGAAAACAAAGCATTGCTGGAGACAAGGAAGCCCTGGAGGGAACTGAAAAAGTGATTCGAGGAAGAAATGCAAAGAATATGCCCAAGAAATAGACCACCTCTTCCAAATATGCACTGGAGGTTTCACGAAGCTCATGGGTAACAGAAAGTGTTTCATTGATTTAGTGGTGGAAAATGATGAGCAATTACTTAGGTTTGAGATTTGCCTCCATAGTATTTCCCAGAGGAGTATCCTGGGTATTGGAACATCATACAGAAAAAATGACAATGAAATGTCAAGAGTCATTCAAATGATCAGTAGGAATCAATTTTATGAAAAGTGAAAAATGCATTCATGCCATAGAATTTCACTGAGTGTGTATACCACATTTATAGGAAGAAGAGAAAGGCTTTATAACAACAAATATGCAAACAAAAATATTCACCACGACAGATAGTTCAGTTCAAGTGGGACTTAGGTAGAAACACAAGCATCAGAGTGCATAAGCTTGTACATTTCTCATACCCACGTAGTGTGTTTTTTGCATAACTTTCAACAGGATTTGTGGCAGATAAGTTGTACATCTTAAGACATATGGTGTATAATGTTCACGATTATTTTACATTTTCTCAAATATCATCAACAGATGAAATTTGATCATCACAGAATAACTTGTGCCCCTCAGTAGACTACAGAGACTCACATATTTTGAAACATCCCTCTGCAAGCAGCCAGGAAACAGCGCTCCCAAAGGCTTCTGGGCTGTGCCACCCTGAGGGATGATGACTTCATTTTTGATACTATTTCTGTATCTGTGTAAGCCAGAAGTCCTCCACACCACTGTCTGTTCACATCTATATTAACGATGTGAGAATGGCAGGTTCACGTAAGTAAAACAAGTGAGCTCCACATGTCAGCCCTTCCTGTCTTGTCTTCTGCCCTTATTGGCCACTGGGATCCTGCCTTGGTTTACAAGTGGCCTTGACAGAGCTCTGAGGACACGGTAGTTCAATAACTCTGCCTGTTTTCAAACACTGCTTTAAGGTACTGTTATATCCCGTGTGAAGACTTAAAGTTGTTTTAACCACAAACCTGTTTCTTTGCACTGAGCAGAGTAATCTGCGGCAAGTGATCTCTATGAATTCATTGAAACAATATCTATGAGAGTCCAGACACTGACTTTTCACCTCAAGGTTTTAAAATTTGGGTCAAATTATAATAAGGATGCTAGGGACAATCAGGGACATATGTGGTTTGTATAAAATGTATGACGATATGTGATAGTAAATAATGTAAAATTCCAATAAGAAGACAAAAACAGATCAAATTTTCAGCTCAAATCTAACACTATTACTTATAGATTATTTCTTAAAATTTATTTCAAAGAAACATTTTTAAGTAGTACAATTTTGGATGTATGATTATACTTATGACAGATACTTTATGATATAAAAATAGATATAATACAAATGCCTATAAATACGAGACAGGTTAAATGAATTAATGTACATAACTAGAAAGAAATACATTGTCTCTCTATAATATATATAGTTTTACTGTGACATCATTGTGTAAAAATTAGAAATGCAATAATATAGGTAACAAATCTATTTGTTTCTAGTTGTGAAATAAGTGTTGATTTTGCTGAATTCACACAGTCTTTGTAACTGTTTTTACTGAAACATATTTGTGCATGTGTGTCTCTGTGTGTATTAGTTTGCACTTTATGTTATGAAAAGGAAATGCTCAGGTAGGGACATGTGAAGTGGCAGTAAAAATATTGGTTGATTACCATCATTTATTCTGGCTAATGACATAACAAATAGTGAGCATTATGCTATATAGGATTAAGAAAATGTTGTTAAGAGGTACACATTTCTTTCTCAGACATCCTATTTATAAAACACACCGGGTGTTAGAACATATTATTGCATTTTCACTGATTCCTGAGTGTTCAATATGCAGGAACTGGAAGAGAAGGGTCTCAGACCCAGGGCAGGGAGAAGACAGTGCTGTTCCTGTTTTATACATTTTACTGGTAATTTTATGGGTGCAATATCATGACAGTTATCACTGGAGACTACACATCTTGATTCTTACTTCTTCTCCATCACCCTGTCCTCCCTTCAACTCTCCCTATTTACAAAGACATTGTTTCTATTTTTCATTTTCCCGTATTACTTCCATTCCTCCCTTTCCTGTCCCTACCCCTTCCACTTCCCCTTCCCCTTTGGACCTCTTCTTCCCATTTCACATTATCTGCTATACAATTTGATCCTTATTTACACTTTCACTGTCTCACATCAGAGAGACTATTCAGTATTTACACATCCGTCCTGTTTATTTCATTTAAGAGTATCACCTCAATGTGCAGCCATATAGCTATAAATGGCTCTAATTTCTCATTGTTTATGGCTGAGTAGTACTCCATTTTATTTTTTAAAAACTAACAAAAATATTTTCTTTATCCAGTATCCTTTTGATAGGCAATTGGGCTTTTTCCAAGTTTTAGCTATTACAAACTGTGTGGCTATGAATATAGGTGGACATATATGGCTGTGGTCTGATTCTTTTGGAAGATAACCAGCAGGGGAACAGCCGGGTCAAATGGAACCTCTAATCCCAGTATTTTGAGTTATCTCCATACTGATATCCACGGTGGTTGCACCAGTCTGCACTCCCACCAGCAGGGGATCAGTGTTCCTCTTTCCCCACTGCCAGCATTTGATATTGGTTGATTTCATGGTAGCAGCCATTTTTTCTGGGGTGAGGTGGAATCTCAGTGTTATTTTAATTTGCATCTCTCAAATAACCAGTGATGTTGAACATTTTTTTTCATATGTTTGTTTGCTATTTGTACTTTTTTGAGAAATGTCTACTCAAGATGCCCATTTTTTGGATTGGGTCTTTGAATTTGGGAGGTCTGATTTTAAAAATTCTTTATAGATTCTAGATAGTCGGCCTTTGTCTGAGGAACAGCTGGTAGAATTTTTTCCCACATTGTGGGATGTCTCTTCACACTCTTGGTGGTTTCTCTTATGGTGCAGAAGCTTTTTAATAAAGTGAGATTCCACTTGTTGATTGCTTGTGCTAGTCACATGCATCTGAGGTTTTGTTCACAAAATCTTTTCCTACACCAATGTCTTCAACAGTTCTACCTAACCTCTCTTCCAGGTGGCTTAGTGTTTCTGTTTTAATATTTAGCTCTTTAATACATTTCAATTTTAGTTTAGTGCATGGTGAGAGGTACAGGTCTAGCTTCAATCTTTGACAAATTTGAAACTCAAATTTTCAGTGAAGAGCTCAGTGGTTCTGGGGCACATACTAATGTTTATTGGCATTTTTCTCACTTATCTTGTACTTTTTAAAGTTTTTATTGCAAAAAACTTGTTATATAAATAAGTGATACCATGAAAAAATGCAAACATCAATTTTAATTACTTTCTGTATTAGCATTTTAATAGTGATTCATAAATAATTGGAAAACAGTGTTAACATGATCTCAGAGTGAGAAAGCATCATACATTGTTTTAATATGTTACTAGTATTTCCTATATTTTAAAGAATATAATCATTTTATAAATGGAAACATCAACAGATCTATCTGTAGTTATTTAAGTGAGTTTATGTCAGCATTTTGAGACTTGAAAATTAATCTTTGTATTAATATTTTCTTTTTAAAATTCATTCGCCTTTAATTCCACCTTTCTTTTGTATCCATAGACCAAAGAAAGACATGAATGGATCATGTGATATATGATTTGATTTGTAAAATATAACAGAGAGTCCTAAAATTCATTTGCCCTATTAGGGAAAGCTCACTGTTATTACCTAAACGTTGCAGCAGATTTCTTTTATATACAGTAGAAATAGATATCAAAGAAAGCAATAACAATGTAATGTACTCTGGAGAATTGCACAGAGGAATATGTCTTAGGAACAAATTTCTTGGAGGTTATGGGACAGAGAAAGTGTGATTTTTTTTCTTGTATTGCCCACTTCGGATCTTTTGTGAATAGATGATGTGGAATTTAGTTCATAAAATAGACTCAGTTAGTAAACCACAAAACTTTGCTTACGTTTGAGTCTCCTGTGCTACCAATGTCTCTGCTATTAGGTTTAAAATACAGAATAATACCTGGGCAACAGCAGCTTCAGAAGGGGATGAGGGGCGCTAACATATACATGCCTCATGGAGAACTTTCCGTCTATTTCTAGAGCAACCGCTAATCTGCTTGCTCCAGGGGGTCTTGACCCACAGACTCTGTCCTTCTGAGCGAGGATGACATGCAGGCTTATTTCTGGAAGCTAATGGGGACCTGGGTGTTTGTTAGGAAAGAGTGACAATGTAACAGGCAGGAATAGCTCTTCCTTAGCTCTATCTGCTCCGTGACTTGAGATATTAAGGAGAAGAAATTAAGACATATTAATTGCATGCACTCCTCAATTAACTATAACATTGTATGGCAGGTAAGAATATTTCTACAAAATTGACAATGACTATCTTATCAGGAGAGGCGTGTAATCTGGAATAATTAATTTTAGAACTGTTGCTTTCACTTTTGAAGACATCAATTTCTTCATTTTTAAGAAACAAATAAAAATTACCCTAAGAACTAGTGTTCTCCTTCCTCCTTCCCCTCTTTTCCCCTCCCTCCCCCTGCTTACTGAATCCAAGTCTTTCCCATTAAATTTCACCCACGGTTGTTTTTGTTTGTTATTTTTAGTAAGGGGATCCCTAACTCACCAAGTTGGGCTTGGCATTGTTACCCTTCTTCCTCATCCTCCAAGAAGGCTGGATTACAGGTGTGTGTCCCCTGGCCATACAGGTGTAAGAGGACATAGCATGGCTGAGTTTAGATGAATGTGTGCCTCATCAACTATACAGAAGAATAGAAATATATTTCTTAACGTGAAAATGGGTATACTTCCGATAAGGGCAACCTACTTATAAATGATTGTTATGTTACTTGGCCTTGATTGTGTAACAAAAGGATCAGCAATTAACTGTGAATATAGTCAGAGTATGAGAACCTATTTTCCTATGCATTTTTCACAGCCCGGAAGCTCCGGACCTGAGCAATGGCAGAGGAGAACTTCACTCTGTTTGCCGAATTTGTGTTCTTGGGGGTCTCTGGCAGAAAGGACGTACAGCAGGGACTCTTTGCGTTCTTTCTCCTTGTTTATGGGGTAACGGTGATTGCCAATCTGGGCATGATCCTTCTCATCGAAGTGGACCCCAGGCTCCACACGCCCATGTATTATTTCCTGGGAAATCTGTCTTTCTGCGATGTCTGCTATTCCTCAACTGTCTCTCCCAAGATGCTGGCTGATTTCCTATCGGAGCAGAAGAGGATTCCATATAATTTATGTGCCATTCAAATGTATTTTTTCGGCGCCTTTGCGGATGTGGAGTGCCTCCTGCTGGCTGTCATGGCCTATGACCGTTACGTTGCCATTTGCAATCCACTTCTTTACACCGTTGCAATGTCCAGGAGGGTCTGCACCCAGCTAGTGGCTTGCGTCTATATCATAGGCTCTGTGGATTCAGCCATCCACACGAGCTGCACGTTCCAGCTGTCCTTCTGCAGCACAAATGTCATCAATCACTTTTTCTGCGACATCCCTCCCTTGCTAGCCCTGTCTTGCTCAGACACATCTGTCAATGAGATAGTGATGTTCGCTTTCATTGGCGGCATTGTGGGGTGCAGTGTCGTCACTGTCCTCCTCTCCTACGGCTACATCATCTCTACCATCTTCAGGATGAACTCAGCCGAGGGCAGACGCAAAGCCTTCTCCACCTGCGCCTCCCACCTGGCAGCTGTGGCTGTGTTTCACGGTACTCTCCTGTTCATGTATTTCCGACCCAGCTCAAGTTACTCCCTGGACACGGACAAGATGGCCTCTGTGTTCTACACGGTGGTCATCCCTATGCTCAACCCCCTGATCTACAGTTTAAGGAACAAGGATGTGAAGGCTGCTCTGAATAAGGCAATCAGCACCGCGTGGTGCTCTGAGTAAAATCACCTTTTCCGCAAAGAATGGATGGAACATTCTGAGAATGAAGCCTAAGTACTGACTGACTCATGGCATCGCGCAGTCCAACCAGTGAGACACGTTCCGTGACTTATTACGAAGCCCTTACTGGTGTGAGGAGCAGTAATTTGACTTTCTCTTCCTTCCAAGCTAAGACAAAATAGAAAGAGCGGCATTTCGAGTGTTTGCAAGCAGGGTCCTGCCGGGCCTCCCCCTTTGCTGATACGTGTACCCCAGAGAGGTGTCCCTGGGCTTTGAAAGTGACCCACGCCCAATTCATCAACTTCTCTCTGTGTTTGCATTTTTAAAAATGGGTATAAGTGTAAGTTCTGCTGAGCTAAAAGGAACGTTCATGAGACCAAATTTCATCTTGTTAGTGTCCTTCGCATGTGCTATCACCTTGAAAACGTTCATTACCGCAAAGAGAAATAAGTATGTAGAAAATAAACAAAAATGAACAAATGATCAAATGATCTCCTGCTTTAGACTCAAAATCCCACGAAGCTGATGCCCTTGCCTTTCTCACCCTGTATCGTGCCTGGCTTTGCCACCGCGAAGTTCTATAGCAGGTGCTACTCCGCAAAACTCACTGAACGAACAAAGTCCCCCAAGAGACTCTGGAGAAAAGCAGATTTTACCTATTTAAGAGGAAGCAACTCCCTGTCTTTCGCTTTAGTTCATCTTAGGTGATATCTGCCTGCGTGCCCCCCTGCACTTAGTCTGAATGAAAGATTAGGAACAGACGTCGTCTGACATGAACAACACCTCTTCTCAGACCCTCAGTTCCCCTGGAGCCTGTCCTAGCTTTGCCAACAGCCCCAGGACCCGACGCTTCGCTGTCTCGGTGCACCTTGCAGCCGAGCCTCGGGCTCTACATCTCCCTTCTGGCCCCGCCCTGAGCACCGGGAGGGGCCTCCCGCCACTCTCCAGCAAGTGCTCATGGGAGCTGGCGATGGAGACAGGACCTTCCCACAGGCCCCTGGGAAAGGATCCTCCCTCTCCCTCCATCTGTGAGTTCATAGCACTATCCTGTATTATTGTTACGAAATGCTACTTAAACTAAAATTAAATCCCTGATCAACAATCATTTATATTGCTTCTTTTTGTATCTGGTAAATAAACTGGAGCTCTATCTTTGAAAAAATATTAATCGTATCCATTCATTTGTGCTGGGAAGTTAGTCAGAGCTATATTTTATAATTTAGCAAGCTGTATATGTTGTTCACTTAATGGTTAATTTGATTATTTTTTAAAAAATCCACAATTTCTTCTCCCAAGTGCATTTCTTTTTTTTTTTTAAGGTCACTGTCACAGTAGGAACACGGATGGCTTTCACATGAATGAGTGGGCAAAAACTAGCCAAATAATTGAATTTGGTTTAACAACAAGCTTCCATTTTATCCACAGGACTCATATTTATACACAGTGCAGTGAAATAATCGATTGATTGCCCAGATATTAATAGAACCAATATGATATATATGCTCATATATACACAGTTTTCAATACATGCGTATATGTAGCACATCATACCAAAACGTCTTCTTCAAAATATTATCTTGAATTATACTCTATCAACATTCTTCTAAAACTCTTTTGCTAGATGAACTCCTTAAATGCAAGACCTAAGCACAGGCAGACTATTCCTTGCTGTTCTTGGGTTGGCTGGCTGAGTTCGCGGGGCGGTGTTCCGCGGAAAGTGGGGCTGGATCGTGCACCTGTTCTACAAGGCTGTGGCTGTGTCAGGGCAGAATCAGTGGCCTCTGTCTCTCCCAGGTACTCTGAAAGTGGGTCAGGCTGCTTATTCACAAGGTTTCTTTGCCTTCATGGTCTCAGCTCATGGGTCTCTCGGGCTGTTTGCTTAAAGGCCAGGAAGACAATGACACAGAGAGAGTTCTGCTGACTTTTGTTGGTCAAAGCCATTGAATGATAGCAATGCTGCCAAAGAAGTAGAATGATAGCTGTGATTCTAAGGATATGTTTAAAAAGTATATAGCTGTCTTTATCATATGGAAACTATCGTCAGTCTATGGTAGAATTCTGAAATTGCTCATTCTAAATTCTTAGGTTTTAACAACTTTGTGTACATAGGTGAGCGTGTATGCGTGTGTGTGTGTGTGTGTGTGTGTGTGTGTGTGTGTGTGTTTGATGTTTTCCTTTTTTGGCTATGCACTGCCTAGCGAAGCCCCTGGATTAAGTAATACTTAGAGAGCACACACTTAGAAAAATTATGACACACACTGCCATCAGGTCCCTGTGGAAGGAACATTAGTTTGGGTCCTTTTGAAGCAGCTCTATCAAGACAAATAAAGTGGTGGAGTGGGTGAAGGTCATAGAATATAGAGAATTTCATTGTTATCTGGTATTTGAAGTATAAAAAATGTAATATTTAAGAATTTCAAAACTTTGCCAAAAGTTTGTACAAATAGTAGCAAATTAAACTATTTCTTAAAAAATATTAGAACTTTACATTGCAGAAAAACTCTTTACATAATTTATAAATGAATCATTCTTATACATGTGAGCTACATTAGTAGAAAAATACGTGTAAATTCAGCGTATTTCTACTTTTTGTTCACTACTTCCTTTAAAAAAATAGCCTCAAACAGATTCCCAGAATCATTAAGAAGTAGCTGCAAGTTCTTTTGTTAGGATTCTAGGGAATACAGAAACATCAACATGAATTTAAGACTAAATTCTTAAAAGCTAAACTTTTAGTAGAGAAATTATTGTCTCAATATAATAAAGATAATTCAAAACTTGCACGTGGAGTGTACAGAATGAGGCAGAGGTTGGAGATTTCGTCGAGTGGTGCCACGCCTGCCTGGCAAGCACAAGGTCCTGAGTTTGATTCCTGGTACAAAAAAATAAATTAATTAAAAATAAAAACACATTTATTTTGGCTGGGGATTTAGCTCAGTGATTCTGCCACCTGCCTGGAAAGCACAAGGTCATGAGTTTGATCCCCGGTACCACCACCACCACCACCACCAACAACAACAACAACCACAACAACACAAAACAGAATGAGACACAGACTCGGAACGACGGTGAGTGGAGAGATGTCATGAGGGTAAGGACGGGAACACAGCGGTGCCGGCGGAGGGCATTGGCACTGCACGTTTTCACTGAGCTCAGTGTTCATACTGTTATTTTTTAAACAATGAAAAATTCCAGATAAACTAGATGTCCACTGCTTGAGAAAGATAAAGTGTCTTATATCTATAAAGTGAAATGGTATTTGGTCGTGAAAGTGAAGGAAGTTCTCAAATGTGCTGCCACACAAACGATTTTCACATCGTGGAAAATGGCAAAAACACCGACACAGATCACCGCGTGTCTCACTCTACCTGTGTTTCACTTAGGCCTGGAACACAAAGTTTACCAGGAAGGGGCGAGAAGGAGCACAGTGGTCACTAAGGAGTGTTTGGTATGATCCTGAAAACTCTGTGCAAGTACATTTGGCCAAGGTCATCCACCATTGTGACTGTGCCAAAAGGCCAAGAAGTGTTTACTTTACAACTCTGGATTTTATATACATGAATTTTTTATCAATTAAATATCACTGAAATGTTGTAATACTTTACCAATATGAAGGAAAAAAATAAAAAATTAAAGAAAAAAATATGTGTTGGGAATTATTATGTAGGGGTTCTGTTGTATTTTATTTTTCTGATTTAACTGAATAAGAAGGATATAGATTTTATAGAGTATGATATATACATATATCACGTATAGATATATACATTCTTTATATGTTATAGAAATTAATTTTCAGTTTTCATCCTGATATAGACTAATTTAATGACAATACTAAAAAATTAAAGTAATTTTGCTAGTGATATCACTTTTTACTCACAGGGGAAAATACACAACCATAAATATAATTAATCACACATGTACCTAATGCTAGTTCCTTAGGGACAAAGCTTGAAAGAGATTTCACCCCAGTTGCTATCTGCTGCTATAAAAATACTGTCTGTTCAGTGCTTGTCTATAGAAGAACTGCTCATCTCCGGTAAGTTCCTGAGGTTCTAAGCTACAGCTATGAGGTAAAAAAAAAAAAAAAAAAAAAAATACCAGAAGCCTACTTTTCTTCAGGAAGGAAATGAGACACCTGTGAATGAATTATTTTAACAAATTCTGTAGCATAATGATACAAATGATACTTCTCTGAACTGGAAGACTCTACTGAACTTATTAGTTTCCACAAAATAACATTTCAGTTATTCTATTTCTCTCTAAGTTCTTATTCAGGGATTTACTCATTGTATCATTGAGCTTATATATGCTTGGATTTAAGGGTTTTTATGTGGTTTATTTTGAATTAAAAATTTTCAGGGACCACATTACCTACGTGAATACGTACAAATTCAACTCCATGTGAATCAGACAACATGCTTTCTTAGGGTGACAAAAGTTACCACAAACACCTACCCCAAAGATTCCAGTTCTCCTACATCAATAAAAACTCACACAGGGAAATGTATGAAAATAAACATAAATGCATATATCTATCAATAAGGGAATCTTACACAGCTCTGAAATATTCACTGCATTCCCTACTGTTTTCCTTTTTAAAGTACAATTAAAATAGATACGGTGTGAGTGTTTTACATTACAGTTATCTACTGCTTTTTACCATTTTCCTTCAAATGATCAGGAGACTTTTCCCTTGTCTCCAGACCACCCCAACAAATATGCAGTGAGCATCATGCCAGAATTTTAACAAATTTCTAAAAATAATATTAATTATTTTGCTAATCCTAACTTCATTTCTCATCCAATACTAAATAGCAGAGAGGTCAAACCATAGTAAAATACCAGTTTCATTACTGCTCAGTGATAGTTCCCTGTTTCTAGAGCTAAAACAACAGTTTTTAAATAAACTGTGATTTCTGAGGAACAGCATATATAAAATTTGGGGCCTCTATCTGAATGTTTTTTAAGAGGAGCAAATGCTTAGTTGTGTATCTTATGATTTCTCAAAGACTGGTGTTGGGATCATACTATTTTGAAAATCTAGTTAAATTTCAGTACAGCCAAACTTCACTTCCTAAAATAAGAAATAATCAAGCTAAAGTCAAGAACTTATAGAAAGTCACATATTTCACGAATAACACATATTTAAATGAGTTCTCAATGGCTTTTTCTGATTTTTGTCATCATTATCACCTAGACAGAGTTGTGTGTTTTGGGTATATAATTATGGAGCAGGGACATATACTTAACACATCTTAAGTACTTTCACTTTTCCTTACCCTCCCAGTACTTCTTCCTCCTCCTCTAAATAATGATCCATCAATAAGTATTTTTTGGAGAATTAAGACAAATTGTACAAACAAGTATATTCTGTCTTACAAATATATTGTAACTGTACAGAAGAATTTAACATGTGCCAGTTTCTATTCTTTTTATAAAATTTTAGGCAAGAACAAGGGAGAATGGACAGAGAGAATTGCTCCTCATTGACTGAATTCATTTTTCTGGGAATTACCAACAACCCGAGGATGAAAGTTACTCTGTTTACCATTTTCCTTTTCATTTATGTCACTGATCTACTGGCAAATCTGGGAATGATCATCTTAATCAGAATGGACTCCCAGCTCCACACACCCATGTACTTTTTCCTCAGCCACCTCTCGATCTGTGACCTCTGCTACTCCTCCGCGATTGGACCCAAGATGTTGGTGGATCTCATAGCTAAGAATAAATCAATTTCGTTTTTTGGCTGTGCTGTGCAGTTTTTGACCTTCTGTGTCTTTGCAGATTCTGAGTGCATGCTGCTGGCAGTGATGGCCTTCGACCGGTACAAGGCCATCAGCAGCCCCCTGCTGTACACAGCCCACATGTCCAGGAGGGCTGTGCTCCCTGTTCGTGGCTGGGGTTTACCTGTTGGCAATTGCAGATGCTTTAGTACATACAACTTTGGCATTCTGCCTGTGCTTCTGTGGATCTAATGAGATCAATCACTTCTTTTGTGATTTACCTCCACTTTTTCTCCTTTCTTGTTCTGACATACAAATCAATGAGCTGATGTTATTCACCATTTTTGGATTCACTGAACTGAGCACTATCTCAGGAGTCCTGGTCTCCTATTGCTACATCATCTTATCCGTCTTAAAGATCCACTCTGCTGAGGGAAGGCTCAAAGCTTTCTCTACTTGTGCCTTCCACTTAACTGTGGTTGCCATTTTCCAAGGAACTCTGCTGTTCATGAATTTCAGGCCCAGTTCTCCCTGCTCCTTAGATCAAGACAAAATGACCTCACTGTTTTACACTCTGGTGATTCCCACGCTGAACCCTCTCATTTATAGTCTTAGGAACAAGGATGTGAAAG